TGAATCCAGCGTTGTGAACCTGAGGATACCAAAGGCTGATTGTGCAAATTCCCATCACATAAGAGTGCAGAGTGAAAAGTCTCCCTCTTACTCTTTTCAGGTTATGTGAATCCTCCCAGGAATAGCAGAGATCGCTCTTTAAAATGTTCTTTTTCGTTTTTTCCTGAGTTTGTTTCAATCTTAACCATAATGACTCCTCTTTTCTGACCTCAAGTTTAATCATACACAAAGTAGAGAAAATAGTATAATGAACCTCCATGTCCCCATCACCCAGCTTCAGTAGTTTTCAACATTTAGCCAATGTTATTTCATCTAACTATGATTTTGTGGGGGAGGAAAACAATCCCAAGCATCATGATATTTCACCTGTAAGTATCTGGTTATGCTTCTCTAACTGCTAAAAGATTCTTTCCCAAAACATAATTACCATGTTATTAGGGGCTTCCCTGGTGGCTCAGTGGTAAAGAATCCACCCGCAATGCAGGAGGCATGAGTTCAATCCCTGGGTCAGAATGATTTCCTGGAGGAGGACATGGCAACCCATTCCAGTATTCTTGCCTGGAGAATCCCCATGGACCGAGGAGCCTGGCAGGCTACAGTCCATGAGGTCACAAAGAGTTGGACATGGCTGAGCGACTAAATAACATCCATGCTATTATCACACCTAACAAGTATAAGAAAGTTCTTAGTATTAACTAATCCCCAGTGATTGATTTTGAATCCCACTGATCTATAAGGTTCACGTAACTTGCCCTGCCTGGAGTTCTAACAAGGGCCCTCTGCTTAGCCTGAGAAGTACAAAGGGTTGGAAACTCCAGCCATAGCAGCCAGAAACCTGTCCATGTTACCCCTGGCTGTTCTTATTCAGGCCAGAGGCTTTCCGTGCAGACATCTTTTTGGAGCAAAACAATTTTCCAAGCAACTTCTAAGGCTATCAGAGTTTGGAGAGGCATTCTCTAGAAGTGGCTCTGTCCCTTGCTTCCTGGGTGGCATTGGGAAAGCTGTGTCTGTACTCCATCAGCAAACTGTAACAAATAACATTCATCCTCAGAAGTTAGGTGAGTATCTGACAGCCAAGGATAGTAATAGTGTTTCTGTTGCATTCAGGATTGTATCAAAAGTATAGCACTCTGCAGGGACCACTGTGCCAAGGCTGGGTGAGTTTTCATGTTCGTGAAGGTGGATTATGTGGACAACTGATTTCTACATGTCGCTAGTAGCTGTTTGATGCTCCCCAGACACTCATTTCCTGAGTTTATTCATCTGACTGTTCTGGCTTCCAGACTACCCTTCACTGTATCCTAAGCCATGGGCATCTCCCCCCTCACAAATGCACATCCAGCTCACCACCCCCCATTTCTTCCCACTCCATGCCAGCTCAATGTATGTGACATCTCTGGCCCTCAGTTCTCTTGGCCAGAAAGGCAAGGTCAAGCCAATCGGCATGAAGTTGGGTTTCGAAAGTTCTAGTCGCAGGTGCTTTTGTTGTTGTTTAGTCACTCAGTCATGTCCGGCTCTTTACGACCCCATGGACTGTAGCCTGACAGGCTCCTCTGTCCATGGAATCTCCCAGGCAAGAATACTGGAGTGGGTTGCCATTTCATTTACCAGGGGATCTTCCTGATCCAGGGATCGAACCTGCATCTCCTGCAGGAGAAAGGTGAATTCTTTATTGCTGAGCCACCAGGGAAGCCCAGCCACAAGTGCATAGAATATATTACCTGCCAAGCAGTCTTGGTGCCAGGGCCAGAAAAGCTGTAAGAATAAACCACTTACCTTTTAAAATTTGGTCTGGGAAGTCGTTATCTTGGGGAGAGGCAAAACCTCAGCTCCAGAAGCCCCAGTGTTAGTAGGTGAGTTCAAGCTTTCACTGATACTGTGCCTTCTCTGTTCCCCTTTATGATCTTTGATGTGGACACGAAGTGGCTTACCAGATCGGGTACTTGAGCACTTATTTACTTTCCTGGGAGAAAGTCACTGGACTTCCATGAATTTCAGAGTTTGGTTTGTATAATGGAGAAAAGAGAACCCTCTTGCCCCATGGCTTTCAAGAATCTGGTACTGTGTGATCACACAGCAGAGGGGGGATGTTTTATCTAAGCATTTGGAGTTATTTGCAAGAAAGCTGCATGACTGAAGCAAGTGATGATCAAGGAGGCCCAGATCTTTGGCGGTACGATCAGAAGTGCATGAAGCAAACTGTTTATGAGTTTCATACAATCCTATATTGTTCCCACAGGCACCCAGTGCAGGCGGCAGGCTACCACCAAGAAGACTGGTATTGCCCTCTAGGGGAATCCCTGGGCACTGCCAGGGATCCAGCTGGACTCTGGAGAACATTTTGCTGTAGAACCACTGGAAACAGAATCACAGAAATATGTGGAGTTGGATAGATTAAAAAAAAAAACCCACTTGGGGACAGAGGGAGAAAACCCTATAAGAGCTGTGGGAAAAACTCAGGAGAAGAGTGGTGAGTGGCAGCTGAGGTAGTGTCAGGCCCTACAGAGCCACTGTGGCATACTAGATCCTGGAGAGCTGGGAACCTTAAGGCACTGGGTACAGTGAACATGACACAGTCACCCGGCTGAGCCCCTTTACCATTCCAGGCATAAGAACAAGGGGGACCCAGGAAGACGTGCTCCATCAAGGAGTGTGGTGAGCGAAAGAGACAGAGAGAAGCAGTGACAGAGCTGGAAAAACAGAGACACTGAGAGATTGAGACCTGAGGAGAAGACAAAATGAATAGTGAGGCAAGAGAGTTGAAGGAAAGGAGAAGAGAAATGTGCATTAAAGGGAATGTAGCTGAAAAATTGGTCTCTGTGAGTTTATCAGGAGCACATATTTTCTTCCCAATAGCTTAGCAGTCCCCAGGGCTGCTGGTAGGAGTCCAGGGGCAGATTTGCGAGACACCCAGGCTGAGTGATTTCCCTTGGGTGTAGAAGTGTCTCACCTATTCAAGCTGTGAAAAACCATCTCCCTCATCATATCAATAAGAGGCCTTGAAGTTTGGGCTCAGCTCCTGCCATCTGAGAAGCAAAGGGCAGACATTTGGTGACTTCTTGCTTTTGGTCCTCCCTCTCCTCCAGAGCCATTCTCTTGACCACAACCATCCAGAAGTTAATTGTTGGCACAGTCCCACAGCAGGCAGAGTCCATGGCTGGATAACAGGGCTGGTGAGGTCAGAGATCCTGGGACTGTCTGCCATCAGTCGTATGGCCTTAGTCTGGCCTGCTCCAGAAAACCACTATTATATGGTTCTGCCAAAGGAGCAGCATTTACAGGGATCCTTTCTCCTTGGGGGTGGTATAAGATCAGAGGCTCTAAAGTTCTAGATCCTCTGCTCAACTATGGCAGGACTCAGGAACCTGGGGTACCCACAGGGACATCTACAGAAGACTCACCCATTTCCTAACAGCAGAGCCCAAGCCAGAAACATGACCAAGGTCTCAATTCAAAGAGAAAACTGTAAGACACAATTTTGCCTCTCTCCCCTCATAGAAAGATTCTAGGATCTGCTCAGTACCTCCTTCCTCTCCTTTCTTACTCCAAGGCAAAGCCATGGGGAAAATTAGGAAGGGAGGGCATACCTTACTTCCCTGTAGTTGTAGGGTAATCCTCCACTTATATGTCAACCAGTTTCCTCAAAGACCATCCATGGGAGGATGCAGACCTCAAAGTCAAGACAGTTGTGTCTCTCTGAGGCTCCTGAAGGGCTAGGGAATACAAACAAGCAGTTTGATAGACACTGGTTAAGATTCAGTTCTTTTAGAAAAATTCCATACGCGAATCCCACCTAGTCCTGGGCACTCAAATACCTTCACAGTCTTTAGAAATAATTATTATTAGGCTTTTTATATTATTATTTCCTTGATTTGGCTATTGTTCTTCATGCGTCTTTCTCTGAGCCAAGGACCATATTTATTTCCCCTTCCCTCCACCCTCACTGACAACCATGGCTTTACCTCCACCCACTCCTTGCCTCTCATCACCCTGGATACAGCTCTCTCATGACTATTCTGAGGGTGGGGTATTGCTACCTAATGCCCAGATTGTGTTCTTCTGTGAGTCAGTTACCTTCCATGGAAATCACCCACATCCCCAGATCTCACCTTTTCTTTAGCCTGTTCTGTGAACCTGCACAGCATGTCTTCTTGCCCCCTCCCTGTGTCTCCGTTATCCTGTCTATAAAATGATTACAATTCTAGCTTTCTCCAGCTTGGTCAAAATCTGTTCGAGGAATCAACAGCTTGTGTTTTGTCCTCATTCAGTTGAAACCAAGAAGGATTTGGAGGAAATTATTTTTAAAAGACTTTTTTTTCTCTATTGTGTTTCTAAAACTGGAATGGGAGGAGTTGGGAGAATCGCTTATTTTCTAGAGTGGTGGGGGCGGGTAAAGGTGGATAGGGTCAAGAATAGCTAGGCATGAGGGGTGGTGTTGAGGCACAGTTAGAAGGACTAGGAGATCACATCTAGGGTTTTGACCCTGACTGCCTCACCAGGGCTACCACCTTCATGGCCTCCAACACTAATGCTGCCACATCATCTCATACCAAAATAGACCCAAGGATCAGTTGGAGGCTTGCAGGACCTCTTTCTTTCATTTCCACTCCCAAACCACATTTCCAGATGTCTCTGCAGCAAAGTGAAATTCCACATAGGCAAGCCTTGGTGGGGGGTAGGGGGAGAAGAAAAAAAGAAAAAGAGACAATTGGCACTGAAAAGCAGAAAGAGAAGACGGAGGTCTTAGAGAAGGGAGTATCCTGAGGAGGTGGGGACAAGGGGAGGAGAAGGGGAGGAGGAGAGGAGGAGGAAAGTGGGTCTGTCCCTTTAAGGGGGTTGGCTGTCAATCAGAAAGCCCTTTTCATTGCAGGAGAAGAGGACAAAGATACTCAGAGAGAAAAAGTAAAGGACCGAAGAAGGAGACTGGAGAGACCAGGATCCTTCCAGCTCAACAAACAGACTAGCCAGCCGGCTACCATTGGAGTCAGAGTCCCAAAGACATGGGTGAGTTTCAAAAACTTTAGATTGGAAGATTCAAGCCAGAGCATAGGAATTTGTAAGAACTTTGGAGTTCGGAGTTTCTAATGGTTGAAATGAATTGTGTTCTGGCACTTGTTTTATTTTTCATTCCGTAGCATGCAATTAGATTAACTCCTTCTCTGCTGTACTGATAATGATGCTTTATTGCCAAAGAACTCCAGCAGCACATGGAGAGTCCCACAGGTCCTTAGAGAGAGTGTCTGGAGGGCTGGATGTGGTCATGTGTCCTCCTACCCCCTTACTTCCCTCTGCCTTCTCTTTTCCCCTGGTCCCCATGTACTGGTGATGGCCTGGTCAGCTGACATCCTTGGTTCTGCTGGAGGCAACTAATGTTGGCTGGTTCTCAACTGTACAAATGACTGCTGCTTGAAACAAAATTTGGACCCTGTGGGGCATCAGAATGAAGTTGGGTGACATGGATTCAGGTTTGGTCATGGCTGAGGAGGCCGATCTCAAGTTCAGGAAATGAAAATAAAGTCCTTAATGGCTTTACCATAAGGAAGAGATATGGGTAGGGCTGTGTGTGTGTGCACACGCATGCACACATATGGGTGACCATATCTAGCAAATATTACAGACTTAGCCTTCCTGAGGGCGTGACTCAGATTCTAAATCCCTGCTGTAACAAGGAGGCTACTGGGACCTTAGGGCTTTTGCTGACTTGGTTGAGTCCTAAGGGCATCTCTGTACAGAGAAGCTACATGGTCTGGTCTCTTGTAGTGTTCACTGAGTGCAAGATGTACAGAGCACAAGAATTTTTGTTCATACAGGAGGCCACAGAAACATGTAGACATTGCTCACATTTGGCAAAACGAGAGCAACAGCTTGAACGTGTCCTAAATGAAATGAGAATCAACTGTCCTGTGTATTCACCATCAAATGTATTACCCAGAAGATTCCAAAAGCATCTATGGAGATGGGTTTTCAATTATATTAGGCTAGTGTCAGTTTTTAGGTTGTTTCATCCTGAAACACTGAGAGAGCTCTTGAGGCATGTATTCAGGCAGGATAATTAAGAAGGCATGAGCACTGGACTAGAAGTGAACATAATGAGGTTCGAATCCCAGATCTGCTACTTATGAACTTGGTGACATTGGGTAGGTTGCTATGAATTATTACTTCATCATCTGGAAAATAGGGATAATGATAATTGCTTTGTCTACTTTCAGGGTTATAAAATAAAAAATAATATGTGGGAGTCCTTTGAAAATGGGAAAACTCTATAACAGCTGTAAATAATAATAATACTAATTATTATACAATGATGCATGTACAGGCTGTCTCTTATTCTTCCTGAAGTGATTGAGCTTTCTTTGCATGTACTTTGTGCACTTGGGTAAGAATTGTCCAATCGAGTGGGGCCAAATGAGAGGTGAATATTGCAAGAACTCTGTTCCTGTCCTAGATAATGTCAAGAACCTTACCTGAAGTCAGGGCAGCTGATTGGGTAGTTTGTGAATCAAAAACAGAGAGGGAGTAAAGAAGGATGCTGAATACTACTTCCTTAGGGAGTAAAAGCCCTGAGGAAAAGGCAGGAAAAATCAGGTGACCATAGGGACAGTTTCCTGTTACAGAGGCTAGATGATTTCCTCCAGGGAAGATTATTGCAGATGAGGGAACAGTCGAAGCTGTGTATGAGATCTCTTAATCTGAGGGTGAGCCATACTTGGGCTAGGTGCACATGATAGAGTAGCCATTATGTTCTCAGTTATGCAATAGCAAAGTATTGATATTTCAAATACTTTTTAAGTAATAGACCATCTGTAGCAAGGTACTGGACTGCTACTGCTTCTGACAGGGAGTGTGTTGCTGTTTAACTATTGCACTGGACAGATTATATCATAGGATCTTGGATTGAACTGGAAGGAACTTTAGAAGCTGTCTGAGCTAATTCTCAGCGCAGGATTCCCTTCTCAAATGTTCCTACAGCTTCTTCTTAATCATCCCCAGGAATAGGAAGCTCACTACCTCCACCACGGAGAATCAAGTAGGATCAGAAATGAGGAGGAACAGGGAATTCTGTAGTGTTCACACAAAAGGTTTACAAGGGTTCACTAAAGAGTTCACTAAACCTTGTCCTGACTTGGGAGAGGGATGTTCCAAATGAGTCTTTTGGATAACAATGGAACTGGAAAAGAGCCAAAGAGCAGTAGCTGATTATTCTCTGCTTAGTAACACAATGCCATTACCGAACAGCAAAATATTGGCTCTTGCAAAGCCTGATGTCTGAGAACAGTGGCTGTTACCCTGGTAACCAGACTATGATGCTTCCCTCCAAAGGTGGCTGTTTGCTGAGCAGTGTAGTTTTGGTTGGCTCACAGTGTGAGTGCAGCCCAGGCAAAAAGTGTGGAGGCAAAGCAGGGGTCCAGGTTTTTACTAAATGCTTGAAGACTAACTGAATCCCATCATGATGGCAAGAAGGCTGCAAGAGTGCCAGGAGCTAAAAAGAAAGCAGATGAAAACCAGCACATTCACTTACTTTTTCTAGAGACACTGACTAAAATGATCATATGTACCCTTCCCCACTCCTTACCTCTGCTCAGCAGAGCCAGACGAGAACCAGGCAGATTAAAAGGTCTGCTCTGATTCAAGGGCCTTTTGCCCTGGCTCTCTGCTAGGAAAGCCAGAAATTTACTCAATAACCTGACGACTAGAACTACAAGTGCTCTCAAATCTCTCTGAATAGTAAATAGACCCAAGAAACCCTTGAGAAATGGATAGGAGGGAAAATACAGTCTCCAAACCCAATAAAGCAGATGCCAATGGCATCTTTTTCCCTTGTTGTGTGTTACCTTGAAGCCTTGAAAACTGTCCCCAGGGTTCTTGGGGTTGAAAGAAAGCAACAGTAGAAATGCCCTCCTTGCCCACAAAACTTCAGGTCCAGGAAACATTAAGTTAGGGCAGTAAACTGATTGGGAAAGATAACAGCAGCCTTGGCAGGTGAACAGAGTAGCTTTCCCTTCCCTTCCCACTGTCAGGGCCTGCCCAGTGTCAAACTCTCATCGAAAACCCCTTGGTTATTCTCAATGGTCTTAAAGGTGATCACTCAGCTCTGCACTGGCCTCTGAGCTTTCTGCCAGGCCAGGCTCTGGAAAGGAGTCAGTGACATCCCAAGGAAGAGAACAAGGTTCCCTAGAACAGCTTCACACTGCAACCAAGGGAAGAGGAGGAATTGGTGGGAGACTGGGCTAAGGAATGAAGTATGGAAACTGTTGTCTCTCAGCTTAGTGCCAGTTGCTTCTCTTTCATTTTCCCAGAAGTGGGCAAAGTGAGGGCAACATGTCAGGGATAGAGTTTAACAATCCAGTCTCCACCCCAGCCTCCCAATGTTTGGGTACAAGTTGGCATACATCAATGCATGTGTGCACCCATGCATGTGTGCATGTGCGAGTGTGTGTGTTTGGGGGAGGAGTAGGGAATATAGGAAACAAAGTGGTCCAGATGCTGTTGCCATGGTAATAATAATATCTTTTCAAAGAGGAGGTTGAGCTTCATTTTTATTTAATTATGTCTACATGACTTGACTATCTAGCAAGCTTGGATTTTCATGCCCCAGTGGCTACAGAGCCCCTTTCCAGCACTTGAACATGGTATAAGTGATGATTTCATGTAGGAAAGACAAGATTATAAGCAGGGCTTTGTCTGATCTGGATAAAGCCATAAGCAAAAGTCTTTGTCTCTGGCACCTCCTGATGATTGTTGTTTTACTCCTAGAACTCACCCATTCATCCCCATCCATTCCTGGTACCAGTCACGGCTGCTCTAGCATCTTGGCCCTGTCAACTGCGATAGGTCCTGATCAAGTGAGCCTCTGTTCATGGGGTGAGGTTAAGGGGTGGGTTCTGGGAGGAGAGTAAGACTGTAGCTCAGATTAGAGACTTAGAGAGATGGGGCCAGTTTTTCGCTCAATGAGCCTGCCTGTTGTTTAGCTTTATTGTATAGGGTTCTTCTATCTCTCCCTTTGTCAGCTGGATTCAAGGGACAAGCTGGGATTTGTGCAAGGCACAATTGGTCTCTTTCTATCATCCCTTTTGATTAAAGACCTTCCTTTCCTCCCTTTGATGGGTTCCCAGATTCAAATTGAATTTCCATCATGGAGCTTGTCCTTGAGGCATGCCCAGGGCATGGGAAAGGAGGGAGGGCTCGGGAGCCCTTGGCTCCTGCTTAAAGAGACAGCATCAGGATCAACCCAGTACCTTGGATAGACAGAAATCTGGACGAGAGTCACAACAGTCCTGTTGATCCTTGTCAGATTCCTGTGAAGAGCATTAATGAGAAGTATTTGAAGTTCTATCACAGATTGATTAGTTTTGGGAGTTTGCAGATACATCTAGCTAACACAGAATATTTCCCCTTTGCTTACATTTTGCCCACAGGGCTTGGTTATACACATTTAAACACTAAATTGTAGGTAGCTTTGGTCTTTGATTTGCCGATATGTTTGTTCTCCTCAACAAGACTGAAAGGTCTTTGAAGGAAGGGACTGGGCCTTATAGTTCCCTTTTGTTTCCCACAGCATCTAGGTTATTGCCATATGCTTAATAATTGTACTGAATCCAATGAATGGAAAGGCAAACCCTGGGGAAAGTCATTATTTTTCTGTATGATCTCTCATCAAAGTCAGGTGGTTTAGGGACTTCCCTGGCAGTCCAGTGGTTAAGACTTTGCCTTCCAATGCAGGGGGTGCAAGTTCAATCCTTGGTCAGGGAGCTAAGATTTCCCCCCCATCCCTAAGAGCCAAAATCTCCAAAAAAACATAAAATAGAAGCAATATATTATAACCAATTTAGTAACGACTTTAAAAATGATCAATATAAAAATCTTTAGAAAAAGTCAGGTGGTTTAATTCAATTTGGTTGCATTGGGTAATATTATTGCTATATAGTTCTTTTCTGCCAACTCCACAATGTTGCGGTCAATACTTAGCCCAGAAATGTAAGAATGCCTCTTGAGAGGCCAAGGAACTTCTACAGAATCCCTCACGGCCTTCCTGAATCAAACCGGTACCTTTTCAACCATGAAGTCTTCTGAAATGGAGAACCTTTGGCTTTAGGTTATTGTTTACACAACCCCAAATCAAAGGGAACCCAATGAACATTTCTCAGAATATTTTGATTGTAAACTCCTTTGAAGACACGATTTATTGCATGTTCTGAGTTTTTCCCAGTTGGAATCCAAAATTTGATTTTTTGCTTGGGCTGACTGGTGGAGATTCTTCACTTCCACTGAACTTAAATGCCCCCAGAACAAACATTTCATTTCAATGTGAAGAGATGGACATCTTATGCTGATATTATTGAACTATTTATAGCTGAAGAGTGATAGATGTACTCAGGGCCATTTAATTTCAACTCCATGTTAGAGACTTATTAAAGCCTAGGTCCTTCTTGTACCTTGCTTTGAGTGACAGTAGAGCAGAAAAGGGGGTGCTAAGTTATTTGAGCTCTAAGAAAATGGGGGAAAAATGGATTGAAGAAGAAAGAATATCAGTGGATGATTCAGAGTTGCTCCCAAGGCTGAGCACTTTATCACCCAGTAAGAACACTATATATGATACTCTCTGATTATTTGGATGATACAGGGATCATATAGACTAACAAGGCTTTCTCTCCTTGTCTTTACAACCCTGGAGGGGGCATCAGCTGAAACTTAGAGTGGAATTCTGTTTCGTTAGCAAGAGTTCAAGTTTTTTCATTCCTGATCTCACCTGCACCACCATTTTAGCCCTTTCCAAGATAAAAAAGGTGGGGTGAGTCAGTGGGCACAGGACGGTCACTTGCTAGGGAGGATGGTTCTCCTTACTCTGGGCTAAACAAACAGTTCTTCCATTGTTCCCTGGGTCTGACCCCCTTCCCACCCCTAGGCCTGGAGGCCCCTGCAGAATACAAATGAGGTTCCTGAGATCTCAGGGAAAAAACAAGGCTTCTTTGTCCAGGGGAGCTATGGAGGGTTCTGTCCAAGCCCTGACCCTGTGCTGGGGAGAGAGGGAACAGTGGGGTCATGCACCTTCCCCTCCCTCCACCCCCAGGCTTCAGAGACTTTCTTTACTAGAAGATTCTAAGAGTTTGGGGGTGGGGAAGATTTGGATAGGCAGAGAAGGAAAATGGCAGGACTGTTTATTTCCAAGCTCCTTTTCTTGACTTACAAGATGTATCTAGTATCTTGACCTGTTAATAAAGAGGAAGATTAGCATATAGGGTTATCATTACCATATGGGAGAAGGCAAGGGTGGGATGTTTCAAGAGAACAGCATCGAAACATGTATGTTATCTAGGGTGAAACAGATCATCAGCCCAGGTTGGATGCATGAGACAAGTGCTCAGGGCTGGTGCACTGGGAAGACCCAGAGGGATCGGGTGGAGAGGGAGGTGGGAGGGGGGATCGGGATGGGGAACACATGTAAATCCATGGCTGATTCATGTCAATGTATGACAAAAACCACTACAACATTGTAAAGTAATTAGCCTCCAACTAATAAAAATAAATGGAAAAAAAATTGTGATCAAAAAATAAAAGAAAGAGGAAGATCCATATCTGAATGTTTCCTGAGAACAATAATCAATTTCAAGTGCTGTTTTTCTCTCTGGCTTATACATGCATTTATGTGCATGTTTGCATTCACGCATGTGGCCCCACTCTGGCACAAGTGTGTGCATGTGGGAACATACACACACACAACACACACACTCACACCCCATGTGCCAGTATCTAATGAGGCACTCTTACCAAGCACAATTCATACTAAGTAAACTCTGCCTTCACTTAGAGCAGCACAGCTACAAACTGATTGCTTCCCAGAGCCGCCAAGTTTTCTGACAGTAGGCCTTCAGTTCTTAGAGAAGGGAGCAAATGCAGTTCTACTTCAAATGTTAGCTACTTATTTTGCTTGGCTTGGGCTTCTATGCCTCATCTCTGGGGTGACACACAAGAATATTGAGGAAGAGGCTCTTTGAGCACCAAGGAAGGGCTATCATTTTAGGGGACAGTGGGACAGAGGACTCACTCACACTGTGGCCCTGAGAACAGAGACAAATGCCTCTACCTCAGCTTTCTCACGATAGAGATAATTTGGTCCTTCAGAATCTGTTCACATGGACATAGTTCAGGCACATGACCAGATGGTCAAGCACTGTACTAGTATTAAGAGAGTCAGGCAAAAGATTCCCCTGGTCCCTGGCATTAAAAAAAATGAGCTTTGGATAAAGTCCAAATCTAAAAGTGAATACAACGCATTTTATTTGTGTAAGGAGTTTCAGCATGCTTTTCCAAAACAGCAGCTTCTTGACACATTTGCTATTTATTTGTGTGTGTGTGTATGCACACAAATAATTTATATATGCATATAGTATATCAACCCTGAATAGTCATTGGAAGAACTGATGCTGAAGCTCCAATACTTTGGCCACTTGATGCGTAGAAATGACTCATTGGAAAAGACCCTGATGCTGGAAAACATTAAGGGCAGAAGGAGAAGAAGATGGTAGAGGACGAGATGGTTGGATGGCATCATCAACTCAATGGACATGAGTCTGAGCAAACTCTGGGAGATAGTGAAGGACAGGGACGCCTGGCATGCTGCAGTCCATGGGGTCACAAAGAGTCGAATATGACAGTGACTGAACAGCAACAATGCGTATAATATATGCAAAAATAATTCATATACCATATCTATATGATATGTGAATAGATGGATAAAATTAGTGTATATATAATTTATTTTCTGAAGATTTTCATTTCTTTAACCTTTTGGGGTTTTGGCCAAGAGGCTAGAAGATGCCTTTCTCCATCATCTACTGGATGGATGAAACATTTGTTGTTTCACTACACATGACACCTTAGAGCTCAGGACTTGTACTTGGGACACAGCTACTCTCAGAACCTGTGACTTCTTATGTGCCCTTCCTGTTTCTCAGCAACACTTGCATGGGGCCTGGGGTACCAGATCTGGGGAATTTCAGAGTCTCAGCATTTTAAGACAGCTGTATTCCCAGGCCCTAGTGTGTTTTGTCATGCCAGAAAGACATTTCATGCTTTGTTGGCTCTGTATAACATCTCTTTGTAGTTGTTTTGACAGAACTCCAGGGTAGGACTAAGGGTGGGGACATTGGCCAAACTGTAGCATAGGGGGACAAGTCAGCTATGCAAAGTGTCCCCACATCATTTAGCCTGTATGTTTACTACTGTGAATAATAGTCATCCTCCCATGAACCTCTCCTGTCCTCTGCCAGTTTCCTCCTTTCTTTGGACTGCTCTCCAGACATCCAGACTAAGAAGAATCAAGCATTCTGTGCCGCAAATACAACATTCAGAAATACCCAGGAACATGCAATTTCAGAGTTTTCCCACCGGAAATGCTCTTTAAGGGTCAGCTCTTGTCTGGCAATATCAATATTTCTATGAAATTCGAAGGGCATTTACACTTTGTAGCCATTTACTAGGCTGCCTGAAACTGTTGGTTGAAAATATCAGATCTACCTAGCTCATTATCCTCCATAGACAAAAATGTCCCCATGGCAGTATCTATGTCTCTTATATGTTCACACTCTACATGACACCTAGCATAATGCTGGGCACACAGTAAGTACTCCATAAAAGTTGATAAATGGTGAAAACAAACAAATCAGAAAGATAAGAAAGGAGGGAATGAGAGCATCATCTTTCTAGTGGCCTACTTGAATACTGATTATTCAAAAACTCATGGACATTTTGGGAATTCGAGGTAAGGATTTATCTTTAAGAATGGAACAAAATATGGTTTGGGGGAGTCAGTCTCACATTCCAAAATTCTGAGGTTCTAGACTCTCTTGCTTTTTGTCTCTGAGGTGACCCCTCCTCCAACCCTGCATCCATGCATGTGAGCACAGGGCCTGGTTGGGCTGGCAGAGGGAGATGAGTGATGAGCTATGTATTGTACATCCCTGACTGTTTGCCCTCCTTTTTCTTCAGGCTTGTTAGAGTGCTGTGCGAGATGTCTCGTAGGGGCCCCCTTTGCTTCCCTGGTGGCCACTGGATTGTGTTTCTTTGGGGTGGCACTATTCTGTGGCTGTGGACATGAAGCACTCACTGGTACAGAAAAGCTAATTGAGACGTATTTCTCCAAAAACTACCAGGACTATGAGTATCTTATCAATGTGTAAGTACCTACTCTCCCCTACCAATCCTGTCTATCTTAGAGACATGAAACTCATCAGTACCTTAGTGACTAGTAGGGGATTGGTGTGGAGCCAGATAGAATTCCTGGGTCTTCCTTCTTTTTTAAAAAACATTTTTTATTGGGATATAGTTGCTTTACAATGTTGTGTTAGTTTCTGCTGTACAAAAAAGTGAATCAGCTATATGTATACACATATCCCCTCCTTCTTGGACCTCCATCTTACCCTCCCCTGCCATCCTACCCATCTAGGTCATCATAGAACACAAAAGTGAGCTCTCTGTGCTAATAAAGCACCTTCCCACTAGCTATCTATTTTACACATGGTAGTGTATATATAGTGAAAGTGAATATATATATATATATGGGGCTTCCCAGGTGGTGTTAGTGGTAAAGAACCTGCCTGCCAAGGTTCTTGGTTGGGAAAGTCTTGGGTTGGGAAGGTCCCCTGGAGGAGGGTGTGGCCAGCCACTCCAGTATTCTTGCCTAGAGAATCCCCATGGACAGAGGAGCCTGGCGGGCTATGGTCCATAGTATTGCAAAGAGTTGGACACGACTGAAGTGACTTAGCACACACACAGTGTATACATATGTCAATCCCAATCTCTCAATTTATCCATCCCTCCCCCCCACTCTATGTCCACACATCTGTTCTGTACATTTATGTCTCTATTCCTGCCCTGCAAATAGGTTCATCTGTACCATTTTTTCTAGATTCCACATACACACGTTGATATGTGTGCAGATCCCACCTATAGTACATCTGAAGCCCTAAATGAAGAGGAAGTGCCACATTCAGGGGAGGAGGTCTGCCTGCCTGCCACCTCACTCCTAACCACACCCACCCCACCCCTGCCCTTGCTTTGTCTCACATGTTCTCAATTCTGCTAGGTAGGGTTAACATGGACTGAGTTGGAGCCTCTGCAGTGGCCCATATAGAAAATTCACGGGAGGCACACTGATTGGACAGAGTGGGGCTGCTGCTTTCATTTCACCACACCACTTGAGTGTGCTCTGGCCCAATACTAAGCCTCTCCTGTTTCTAGAGCAAGTTAGGCTCTACTTCCTTCATCCATCTTCCTTCTTACTTAGCTCCTCTCTCCTCTGAGGGAGCATCTCTGAAGGGTCAGGCCAAGTAAAGTAGGGCCTCAGTTCTTCAGGTCACAGGGTAAGCCAAATATGTGGGAGGAGCATCTTCTTTAACTTCAAAAAGTGTTAGTTGCTCAGTCGTGTCCAACTCTTTGTGACCCTGTGGACTGTAGCCCACCAGGTTCCTCTGTCCATGGGATCCTCCAGGCAAGAGTACTGGAGTGGGTTGTCATTCCCTTCTCCAGTTACTTCAATAAGTACAAGGTAGAAGCCTAGAGGAAGAACCTAGTGATTCCCCTAAAGCATCCCTAGTTTTGTCTAGGAGCTTACTCAAGAGTCCAACTGACTTATGCAGCAAGGGAACCGGGTCCTCCATGCATAAGATTTTCTGGCTTTGTGTTATCTGTTAACACAGGATCCATGCTTTTCAGTATGTCATCTATGGAACTGCCTCTTTCTTCTTCCTTTATGGGGCCCTCCTGCTGGCCGAGGGCTTCTACACCACCGGCGCAGTCAGGCAGATCTTTGGCGACTACAAGACCACCATCTGCGGCAAGGGCTTGAGTGCAACGGTAACAGGGGGCCAGAAGGGGAGGGGTTCCAGAGGCCAACATCAAGCTCATTCTTTGGAGCGGGTGTGTCATTGTTTGGGAAAATGGCTAGGACATCCCGACAAGGTGATCATCCTCAGGATTTTGTGGCAATAACAAGGGGTGGGGGACAACTGGGTATGAGTCTGTGGCCTCATCCCCACCCAAGGCTGGGTCCTCTCTAGGGGCCTGGCTTCTGAGTGAGGACCTGATGGCTATGGCCAAATGAGAAGGTCAGGAAGAACGTGGTGCCCAGCTGGCTTAGCCTCACTTTTCAAATGGTCCCTAGAAAAATTTCATTTCAAAAGGGAAAGCCTGAGTTCTGTGGGGTGCTTCATACAATCAGACCATTTCTAAGCCATCTACTGGTACCTTTTTGATCCCCTCCTAGCTGGGACCACAGCAAGAGTAGATCTGACTGCCTAAGAATTTAAAATGCTACTCAGTGGATTGAGATGTAGGTTCCTGATCTGAGAGGAAGGGTGGATCATAGAAATTAAGTAATTGACTCCGAGATGGAATCGATACTATTCTGGGATCCTACATTGTTGAAGGTCCCAGAGGGAACTAGCATAGATCTGTATTTAAGGCCTTATCTGTCAGAGGGCTATTATGCTTCTAGTGAGGTAAAGATTGGTTTCCAGCCTCTAGAGTTAAAGACCATTTGGGGGCTGAACATCTGGGGGTTGTGTTGTTGTCTTCTGTGGCTAGCAGTTGGCTTAGAAAGGTTTTTGGATTGGAAATTGAAATCTTTTATTGGCTTTATTCAATAACTAGGGATCCAAAGTCCTTTGACAAGGGATATTTTCTAAGCTCAGCCTAAGGCATTTAAATGGCACGACTTTCTTTCAAGATCTCTTTTGATTTCTTCACACCTTATCTGTCCAAACAATCTCCCGAAGCCTTTCTAACCCAGGGGTCCTCCTCACTCCAACCCCCACCCATTCTCCCCCTCCCCGTTATTACTTGGGGCCAATTCTCTAGTAGATAAGATACTGCCAATGGCATTTGGCAGAGGTGCCCCACTTACTAATTTCATTTGGCGGAGATCCCTGAAATCTGGTTTCATGTCTGGCACATGCCATTTCAGGATCTCTTTGTTTACATTTCAATGTCTGCAGGTTGACACTGATTTCTAACCACTCCATGTCAATTGTTTTAGTTTGTGGGCATTACCTATGCCCTGACCGTTGTGTGGCTCCTGGTGTTTGCCTGCTCTGCTGTGCCTGTATACATTTACTTCAACACCTGGACCACCTGCCAGTCTATTGCCGCCCCCAGCAAGACCTCTGCAAGTATAGGCACTCTCTGTGCTGATGCCAGAATGTATGGTGAGTTAGGGTGGCTTGGCTCTCCTACTCCCTATAGAAGCATGATATATTTGGTTCTTAGGCTAAGGAGGGTGGTAATTATGGGGAGAAATAAGAAGTATGGATGCTTGAATCTTAGTTCATTAATCCCTCTCCACTGAAACCAGAGAGATTTTTTCCCTGAAAAGGGAACTTGTTGGAAGTGGTGGGAGTTTTCTTGGCTGTTTGCACTGCTCTCTGTTAGTTGACTGCTGTTCTGAAACCAGAAGCAGCTCATTTCAATAACAAACAAAAAATTTTGCAACTGTTCAATACCACCTTCTATTTTTTGAGTAAATCTTTGGAAAAGAAAATCCTGATAATTAGTAGGACCCGATTTTTCAGCCAGGATGATTAAAGATGGAAAAAGTTCTCCAGGTAACCCCAAAGCTCTGTGAAGCTTACCTTGTGAGATTTGTCTCTTACTTAGGTGTTCTCCCATGGAATGCTTTCCCTGGCAAGGTGTGTGGCTCCAACCTTCTGTCCATCTGCAAAACAGCTGAGGTGAGTGAGCCATTGGGTTATTTTACAATGAAATGGCGCAAATTGTAACATTTCTATCCATCTTGGATTTTAAGGACTACAGTTTCTCTTTGCTGGGTTTTGAGTTAGCAGATTGCCTTCTATGAAATATAACCTAAGCCAGTGAGTGTATACATGGTAAAATATCTAGTTTCCTAAAAACAGCAGAGAAAACCTTCCATTCTAAGGCTTCCTCTCTTAAAAGAGAAATTTTTAGCTTTAGGTAAAGATAGAGCTTAATGGGAAAATCCCCCAAGTGAACATTTTTATTCTTAAAATAAGAATATTCCTCATCAAGGAAATGAGTTATAACACACATTTCATTTGGAACTTCTCAGTCTCATTTAAAAAGAAAGTACGTTTGAAAAAGGAAAACACTGTATTGAAAATGGATCTTATGCACAAATGCAGCAGGGGAATAAAAGGAAGGAAGAAAGCAGTAAACTATTTCTTTGAAAGCAAAATGTTTTGGGATCCCAGGCACAACTGTGGGGAACCAGTTGATTATTTGGGAGGACTATACTATTTTATGAGTATTCTGTGTTCTGGGTGCTATGGGTACACGGGAGAATGGGAGGCCTATACTTTGGGATGTGACAAGTTAGTTAGAGATGCCAAATTAACACACAAAAAAAATATCAACACCTTCTGAAAGTTGCGCTTCACAATCTATAGCACAGCTTATTTTTGCTGTTGCAAGACCCAGTTCTTCTGCATTTTTTTACAGTTCCAAATGACCTTCCATCTGTTTATTGCTGCATTTGTGGGGGCTGCAGCCACACTGGTTTCCCTGGTGAGTTGTCTTTGAATGATCTTGGCAAATAAATGGTCCTGGGATAGCTTGGGGATAGCTATACCGAAAGGTAAACAGATAAATTCCTTCTAAACTTGAAATGCTGGAGAGGAACTCCTGGGCAGAGACAGCAGAGTATAAAGACTATGTCCTTCTACTTTGGGATGGCAAGGCAGAAAATTTCCAAAAATGAGATAGGAACAAGCAAAGTGATGTGAAGGAAGAGGAGGAAAGAGATTCATAGTCAAGAAATAAGATATTGGGACTCCCTGGTGGTTCAGTGGCTAAGACTCTGAGCTCCCAACACAAGGGAACTGGGTTTGATCCCTGATCAGGGAACTAGATACCACATGCCACAACTAAGAGTTCACATGCCATTGCTAAAGATTCTACAAGCTGCAACAAAGATCAAAGATCCCATTTACTGCAACTAAGACCTGGCACAGCCAAATACATACATACATACATAATTTTAAAAAGAATAATAATATGTAGCATTTACAGAGCATGTAACATTGCCAAGTGCTTTGCAGTCAGAAATTATCATTAATTCTTAACACTTCCTAGTCAAATCAGTGACAAGAACACTGAAACCTTACTAAACATGATTTTTTATAACCTGGAATTCTATATACCATAAATAGGAATCCATCTTGGATGCCTTCCAAGGGATTTAGTTGCTCTCCTGAAAATACTGGAAGGACCTCTTAACATTATTAGAATTGTTATTATTGATGGTGTTATGGCACAGTGTCAATGTCGCGCCTTCATTATTAAGAACACGGGGTACGAATAAGTGTTGATCTGCCCACGATCAGTTTGCAGCACTCCTGACTCCCACCGCTGAGGGTTTTCTCCAGAGTTGAGTTGTTCTTCATCTTGTGAAATAAATGGCTGTATTAAGTGGGAGAAGGTTGTGCTGCACAGTGGGGCTATGCCTCTACAGGAACTCTAGGTCACTCAGACATACAGATAAGATGATGGCAGAGCCCAGGTAGTGTTCACTTCCCTGAGGAAAACTCAGTGCTGGACAGAGCAGAGGTGTGGAAAAAGTCTTTGCTGAGTTGATTCTCTGGGCCTGTCTCATGGAGGACTTCTAGTCAAGTATACAGGGCAAAAGCTTGAATGTGCTCCTTTGTGTAGAATATTTTTTTCTTTATTTACCTGTGATTTTATTTCTACCCTTCTTCATTCCCAAAAGGATTGGAAGAGAGAGCGAGCTGCCTTTTCTACTCTCACTGGTCTTCTCTCTTCTCTTCCCTACAGCTCACCTTCATGATTGCTGCCACTTACAACTTTGCCGTCCTGAAACTCATGGGCCGAGGCACCAAGTTCTGATCTCCTGTAGAAATTTCCCTTTCTCTAATAGCAAGGCTCTAACCACACAGCCTACAGTGCTGCATCTCTCATGTTAACTCTTTGCCTTTGCAACTGACTGGCCCTCTTCTTACTTGATGAGTATAACAAGAAAGGAGAGTCTCACGGTGATTAATGTCTCTGCGGATTCTCCCCTCTTACGTACCTCTTTTAGTCATTTTGCTTCATAGCTGGTTCCTGCTAGAAATGGGAAATTCTTAAAGATGGTGACACCCCAACTGCAAGTCACAAAGAAATGGAGGCTCTCATTCAATTTTCAAGCATCTCCTGAGGACCAGGAAGTGTTTTCTTCTCAAAGGGCACTTCCACTGATGAAAACAAAGTGGAAAGAAAGATGTTCAGGTAGAGAGAAGGGAGGCACCTGTCCCCGTTGCATCTTGGGAGCCAAATATATTCTCTTTGGTGTACAAAACCGAGAACTCACTCCAGTCTCCCTAGTACCACTGAAGAGAGAAGAAAAAAAAGAATGCCAGCAAAACAATAAGAGCATTTGCCCAAATCTACCTATTGCAGCTGGGAGAAGGGGGTCAAAGCAAGGATCTTTCGCCCATAGAAAGAGAGCACTGACCCTGATGGCAATAGACTATTTAAGCCCTAACTCAGCCAACCTTACTTATAGCATAAGGGAGCATAGCGTTTGTGTAGACAAAGGGGGCACTTGGCCTTATACCTCGTTAGAGAAGAGAAACAGGGTGTAGTCAGCATCTTCTTACTCCCTTCTCCTTGATAACAGCTACCATGACAACCCTGTGGTTTCCAAGGAGCTGAGGATAGAGAGAAACTAGTTCATATGAAAAAAGACTGGCCTAAGGAGCAGCAGTCGCTAGTGGCTAACGGTGTAAACTGGGCCAGCCCTCTGGTAGACACAGGATAGATAACTCTTTGGATAGCATGTCTTTGTTCTGTTAATTAGTTGTGTACTTTGGCCTCTGTCATATCTTCACAATGGTGCTCTTTTCATGGGGTATTAGCCATTCAGTCATAGCAGGTGATTTGAAGATCTTGATTTGTTTCAGAATGATGCACATTTCATATTTTACAGCTTGTCTATCACTTGTTTGGGGTTGTACCAGAAAGGTCTGGAGAATGATTATTTGATTATGATTCTCTAACAAATGAAAATTGGACATTAAACAACACAAATGATATGTAAAATTGGCTAGTTCTTGCATCTATTGGGATTTTTGACCAATGATTCCATTCTTTGTAGAAACAGATTTGGTGAATTTGAATCTCAATTTGAGTAACCTATCTGAATGTCCTTTCTAGGTGGTGGGAAATAATTTGATTTAGTAATGTTACCTTGGTGTGTTAAAAAGTCAATTTTAACATACAGGTTATTCTCTCCTGGTGCAGATCACATAACCAAATGCACCAGCCATTAGCTATTCTGTTGGTAAGGTTCCATGGAAAAGGAAAGGGGGAAAGAGTTTGAAACCCAAATAGCTCCCAGGTTTCAGTCTTCCCTTTCTCTGTTTGGGTTTTAATGTTGGGTAAAAAAACAAAAAGCTGATTGGTCTCTATTAAGGGAAAGATTTTACGGGTATGACTGTAGGCGGCTCTTTTGATATAAAGAGGGGTTTTGTTTTCTCCCCCAAAGTGGTTTCAACAACGTTTAAGGAGATGTAAAATCATTACCAAAAAAAACACTTGATATTTGTTTTCAGCAAAGTATACAAAATAAGCTTTCAGTCTGCATATAGGGAGGAGATGGAAAAGGTTCTGTAAGAAACCAATCAAGATCAAGGAAAGTGAAGTAATCCATACCTTGTGTTTTGTTTTGATTTAATAATATAACAAATAACCAACCCTTCCCTGAAAACTTTCTATGTATACATACATACATATACACATACAAAGAGAGTTAATCAACTGAAAGTGTTTCCTTCATTTATGATATAGAATTTCAATTTTAACACACATAAAGGATAAACTTTTAGAAACTTATCTTACAAAATGTATTTTATAAAATTAAAGAAAATAAAATTAAGAATGTTCTCAATCAAACAACTGTGTCTTTTAATTGAATTGTTCTGTTTGACCCCACAATAGCAGTTCAACTAATTATACCTTTATTGTGCTTAGTTCAAGGACCTCATTTATTTTTCAGGTCATCCCAAGTCATTCTCACAACAATTTTCTGAAATAAAGAGTAAATAAATCACTTCTGTTTTTATAGTTGGAGACACTAAGAAATAGAGGCAAGGTAAATTACCACAAATAACCAGTATATATCTGGACTTGGACTAGCACTCAACTCAGGTCTTGATACTAATTCATTGCATTTGAGGGTTTCTTTTCACTTAGAAATCGGTTTCAGAATGTTCTACAAATTCAGAGTCAAATATGGTTACTTCTTTAATATGACAATGGGCTTCCCTTGTGGCTCAGCTGGTAAAGATTCCACCTGCAGTGTGCGAGACCTGGGTTTGATTCCTGGGTTGGGAAGATCCCCTGTAGAAGGGAAAGGCTACCTACTCCAGTACTCTGGCCTGGAGAGTTCCATGGAACTGTATAGTGCTTGGGAGTCGCAAAGAGTTGGACATGACTGAATGACTTTCACTTTTATGTAACAATAGTGCCCCAGCCCTGGTGTGTATAGGATTCAGTTATTGTTAACTTTTCTTTGAATTGTTTGTATATTCCAATAATGAATGCTTAGTGCTTCATGCATGAATAATGCTTAGTTTTTTATGAGAAGTACTGGATGAAAGGTTTAATATATGGGCAGAACAGATATAGTAAAGACAATGTAAATTTAAGCAATCTGTGGCAGGGCAGTATTAAATTAATTAGTAGCACATGCTATCCCAATGACCCACCCACTAGCCCACTTAGGACATAGCATTCAATCCCTGTCACAACCCTAGGCTAGAATTTGGCACTCTAATGACCAGCCTAAAGAGATGGCAAGGAGCATTATCAGAGAGAAAAGAGAGTCTAGCTTGGGGGCAACAAGATATTCATCAGTTAAGGAGCTCTGTACAAAAGTAGTTTCAATGTAATCTTCTGGTTTCTGCTTCACTGCAATTAATATTCTGCAAGCAAGGCTGGTTGGATGACTTTAAGACAAAAAGAATAAAAATATGACAAGGAATTATTTTTAGACACTGGCAAACAAGGACAGAGCACCATATTTTGGAAAACTGATTCAGGGTGCTATAGAGTGAATGTATTTTTGCCTCAGAACAGCGGAAAGCCAGTTACCAAGAAAGCTGTGTTTTCCATCTGCCCTTATTTGGCTCTGCCCTCTGGGACCCATCTATAGATCGAGTTTTTCAGGCTCTCAGAAGCTGAGAGCACATCCAGTCTATCAATTGAGTGCATTGTTCTTAGCTCTCCCACACACCATAAATCTCCTTTCTCTGAACTGAAAGAGTTCTCTTTGTACCTAGATCAGCCAAAGATCAAGATGCAGCAGTATAAACAAGAAACATTTTCTTACAGCGTCAACTGTGTTGCTTTTCACATCTCCAGGGTCAGTACTGAGTGCAGTTATGCAGGGTGTGGAAGCTGTGGGTTTGGCCAGGAGCAACATTCATTCATTCACTAATTCAGTCTACAAATATTAACTGGGCCTTTATAAGCTTCGTGCTAAATCCTAGGAATTTCAGGTTTGGGGATGATGTGGATTTAAAGGGGATAAAGATACGATCTCAAAGATCTCACTCAGCTTCAACATAGTGGAGAAATCTCCCAGGGTGGAGCAGAGTGGAGGCAGGGAGCATGCAAGAAGCAGTCTGATTCGCTGACTGCAGTGGGCATCTGAATTCTCCTCTCAGTATGTGGGAGAGGTCGTGGTTAAGGGCCATGACTTCATGTGGCTCTGGTTTTCTTGGGCCCTGATAAAAACAAAACTTCAATTTAGAGTCCTGACAACTTGTGACTTGCTCTCTATGTCACTCTGCTCCTGGCCTTACATATGACAGTATTCATGCACACACTGTCACAATGAGTGTGCATGCTTCCACCCACTCAGTCATCTGGGGAGTCAGAGGGCACACAGATCAGAATTTACATAAACACAGGCTGTTCTGCCTGACTTTTTTTTCCTTCCAGGCTAAATCTGAGAAGCCATGCATGGGTAATATGAGACACAAGATACTTTTCTCTTTGATTTTTCATATTGAGAGCACAGACAGTGTGTCTATTTTGACATTCATGTCTAGCTTGATGAATATTAAGTAACAGAGGGAATAAATAGCCATTCTTACATTATAAATCAATACTTGGCCTTTTCCTACATAAATAAACAGGTAAGGAATTCAAGTCAATATCTATAAACTGGGAAGATTTTCCTTGTCCAATTTGAAACAAGCAATCGTACTTTTCCCAATTTTTATTGTCCTGGAAAGTTTGGTGTCTATGTGTTACAGCTCTGGAACTCCTTGAATTGATCAACTTTATTCCAAAGGAAAGAAAATTAAGATAAAGTAATGAGCATTTTCCACATAACGAAATAATCAAAGGAAATCCAAACTTAACATGGTTAAAACCTTCGACAAATACTTGTTCAACGAATTCTCTGTGCCATGTGTCATGCTAGCTGCTGGTAATAGAGCTGTGACTAAAACAAACACAGTCTCTGCCCTCAGAGAACTCAACTAAAGAAAAAAAAAGTTAAGGAGGGAGACAAGAAGTGTGGTAAAGAATGAGAGTAACATCCTGAGACAGAAAAGGTGGGGAAGAGAAACTTGTACAGTCCTTTGAGAAACAGAGTCAAGTAAATGAAGACGGAGGCATATGAGTCTGTGTCTAGAGAAAGGCCAACATACTATGGTATTAGGGTCAAAAAATATTAAATGCATTTCTAATGTATTGTCCATCAACATAAACAGTAAGCCTCCAGCTCTGGGCTCTGAAGGAACTATATTAATTGATACTCCAATCTATTATGTGAAGGTCTAACTTTCAAACATGAAAAGGGAAAAATAACGAAGCTGGGTTCTGACAGTTATAGAGCGGATACTTGAAAATTTATAGGTGGCTCAAATTTTTAAAAATATTTTTTTCTGATTAAGTTCTTTAAAAAATTTTAAAAGTATAATTGAAGTACAGTGATATTTTATATAAGTTGTTGTTCAGTCTCTAAGTCGTGTCTCACTCTGCCACCCCATGGACTGCAGCACACCAGGCTTCCTCGTCCTTCACTGTCACAGGGAGTTTGCTCAAACTCATGTCCATTGAGTCAATAATGCAATCCAACCATCTCATTCTCTGTCACTCCCTTCTCCTGCCCTCAATTTTCCCCAGTATGAGGGTCTTTTCCAATGAGTTGTCTCTTTGCATCAGGTGGCCAAAGTATTGGAGTTTCAGCTTCAGCAAGAGTCCTTCCAATAAATATTCAGGGTTGATTTCCTTTAGGATTGACTGGTTTGATCTCCTTGCAGCCCAAAGGACTCTCAAGAGTCTTTTTCAGCACCACAATTTGAAAGCAATCAATTCTTGGGCACTCAGCTTTCTTTATGGTCCAACTCTCACATCCATACATGACTACTGGAAAAACCATAGCTTTGACTATATACAACTTTGTTCTCAAGGTGATGTCTCTGCATTTTAATACACTGTCTAGGTTTGTCATAGCTTTTCTTCCAAGGAGCAAGCATCTCTTAATTTCATGGCTGTACTTACTGTCCACAGTGATTTTGGGGCCCAGGAAAATAAAATCTGTCTCTGCCTTCACTTTTCCCCCTTCTAT